TTGTTCAGAAGCTGCATCCAATTTAGCATCGGATAAAGAAGGTTTGATAACTTCAAAAAAAGCGCACGTGTACTGATTCTTTAACATCGACAGCCGATTTTTAGTATAGTAACTAGCAATTCTCTCTTCTTTCACAACTTCGAAACCCGTCAATCGTATGATTCGCATCACTTCCTCGTAGGGCAGTTCAATTGACATCTGAATGAGCAATAGTAAAAAAGAAAGATATAATTCATAAGAGTCCACAAACCTCGTCAGGCATATCCTCATAGTGATAAGTAAGAGGACCAACATTCAACCATGAGCCTCCTGGCTTGAGAAGTCGATAGATGGTTTCTAAAACAAATAAATGTTTCGAAGTTAACTGGTCCTCAACCCGCGATATCTGCAGTAAAAAGAAGGCACTCTAACAACCTGACTAATAGCGAACCAACGCCTTTTTTTCAGTTTTCTCACGTAGTGGCGGTTGTACAAATTTTTTCTTGTCCGGTATGAAAGAAATTCACCAAAAAGAGTTATAGCGTTAGCAAGGTGAAACGTTTTTTTTTCTAGTTACCGAATAAACCTTTTCTTACAAATTTCATTGATCTCCAAACATTTTTTTTTTTGAATCTAGGCCGTGCGGGAGCCAATAGAAAATTGTGCTCGTGAGCCTAAGATCATGCGCGTATTCCTCCTACTCAATTCACCTTGCGCTGCGCTAACTTCTTTAAAAAGTTTGAAAAATTTTCCTAAAATTTTGTGTGAATTGAAATTGAATGCGGACTCAATCATACAAATACAAAGGTATATTTGGCTCTTAATGAAAAAAACCATCCATTTCTTACCTATATAATCTATAATATTCTTTGCTGTATCTATAAACCACGCCGTTACCACGCAATCAAAGGTTTCATTCCTGGATTTTGTCACTTCCAGGAAATCTCCAGCGATCATAGACATGTTCAGTGGTTTCTGCAAAAAAAAAGGAACGCTATATACGAAGTGTCGAATGTGTCTTAATGAAAACGGTATGATTTGTATTGCGAATAGGTGAATAACAAGTACACTCACTTCCCTTTCCGATTTTCCAGTGTCAGGAAAGTATATCGGTCTTGTTTGGTCGGCATATGACCAGCAATTGCTTTTATCAAGGGTGTACGGATATATGAAATATTCATTTTCCTAAAAAAGTATATCCGTGCATAATTTTCCCAGAAAACAATTTCCTCTCGTCAACCATAAGATTTTTAACATGTCAACAAGAAAAAAGAAAGAAAGTTACCTTCAAACAACCATTTAGCAAAAAAGAAGACGTCATCAACATAATCATGCTGTATTCGTTTCCTTCTACAATAAATCCTTCTTCCGCAAGATCAAATGCTAATCGTCCTAGAAGTTTATGCTAAATCCAAGGACTCAATACCTTCCGAGCAAATGAGCTACCAAGTCCAGAGCCAGGAACCATTATCTTCACAGAGTCTCTCTTCTTCTCATCAGGAAATTTTCTTCGTAATATATCCATTAAAGGAATGTAAGTGGCGTCTCGTTCCGGTTTGCCTAAGAACTTAGCTTGGTGCAGACGAACACCATCGTAGGTGCAAATGAGTGCAGATCACCAGTCTCACTAGCGTCTGTGTGCCGGCACACGCAGACAACCAGAGACGATGGACAGTATTCCTTTTAGCATCCTACTTGGTGTTTTCAAAGTCAAATTTAAACT